AGATTCCCTCGGCGGCAATGGTTATACTCTGATGATTGCGTGCGTGTCTCCTGCAGATTCGAATCACGACGAGACGTTGAATACGATTCGTTATGCTGAAAGAGCCCAAAAAATCAAGAATAAACCTGTAATCAATATCGATCCTAATGCAGCGGAAATTATGCGGTTGCGCACTGAAGTACGTGACAGAAATGAATCTTTCCAGCTTTGATTTGCCTTTATTGATTCCTTTATTTGCAAAGCCAGTTCCTCATGTGTACCGCCGCAAGGCTAGTGGCATCATTAGGTTTTTGCAAATGGTCCTAGTCCTCTGACAAATGGTTTTAGTCCTTAGTCAGCAGCACACACTAGTTTTGAAGGCGTGAGAGTGCCAGGTTTTCATTATAATCAAGTTATTTGGTCCTGGTTCGGACCTTGACCGCCTTATACATGGCGTTGTCAAGGCAGTTTGCCTGGCTAGTGCCTTACATGACAATTATGGCTTCTTAATCTGGAGAAGGGGATTCAGAAGTGAAGTTTTTTGCATTGACATGTTTTGAACATTGTCAAGACTTGTCATATCATCAGTATTTCAAAGAAACCTCATTTTTGCTGCTTGTTTTCTGGATCACGCTCGTGTAGTCAGTATCGGATACTTATCAGAAGCATAACAAGTTTATCAGAACTTCGTCCACATCGCTGCAGTTGGACTCAGTTTCTGCATTGTTGCGTTCGTTTGACATTAGCTTTACTGGTCTTTCTTGGGTGGTCTGCTTTCCACCATTCGTCACTGTTACGACAAGATCATTCACTTTGCTCCAAGTGCACTACACTAACACTTCGAATCGCGCAAAAATGCTATTGTCGAGAGTGGCAAAGATTGATTTAGTTAGGTTTATCTTCATTTTGATTACATTACATTCAGCAGCGACCAGTCATGCCGGCCGTAAGGGTTTGTATGTTTCTCCTGGACTGATCATGGCAGGAAACGGATATAAAGATTATTACCGAGCAGTAAGTAACTGGGTCGAATATGGTAAATGTAATGCTCTCCGTGTCTTAGCTATGGCTGATTCAGTGCCAAAACAGCGCGCGCCCTTGACAATAAATACATCAGTTTTTGGGGCATCGATTCGGTAAAACTTACATACTGATCTTGTAACAGTCCTGCAGCAGTTTGGCGTCCTAGTATCTGACACTTTATGAATGTTTCTGTAGCACTTTCTACACCCTTGGCCGGGACATTTCATAAGCTTTTCTCCGGACCATGGAACAGCATGGAGCGGATGGTGTTCTCCGCGAGAACCGTTCACTAAGATGTTATACCGTTTCTCTACTTCCAATATTGTTTTTCTAATGTGTGGTTTTATGTTTTATTTTTCTTGTGATATTTATGTTCGTTAAAAATAACTGTTTTATACGAAATTTCTTCTATGATATCTGGTGAACGATCAAATTTGTTTAGAATCAGAGACTGCTGCATGAACTGCAAGAAATGAGAGCACATGCGATCACGGACAGAGATGAAACCTCCAAGTATTCCGGCCACCCCTATCAAAATGATAGACCTGCTCTCGAAGGATTACTAAAGTCGTTAAAAAGGAATTTCATAACTGTGAAAGAGCAGCTTTCAAAAGTAGCACTCTAAAAGCTAATTTTTTGTTGCGCTATGCCTTACTGGCTTCTGTTTTAGTCGGAATCGCTGCAAAACGGCTACCGGGATATAGTTGTCAAATTTCTGGCCGAGAGGTTATTTGTTTTGCTTGAATTTTATGTAGTCGTTGTTGACATCTTTGCGAAGTTCAGTATCAAATAACCAACTTTTAAGTACTCAAGACTGTCAGTTAATTGGCGACAGTAATGATTTTATGACTCTGATTACCGCGAGCGTTTCTAATTATTAGGATCAATTTCCAGCTTGGAGAGAACTCTACCGGCTATTCGATTGCTTAGGGGAATGCCGTCGCGCTAGTCTTCGTCGCGTTTGAGTGTAACTTTCACTGGTGAAAATATTGCGTCACAATAGCGAGGCTAGCCGTGAGTATGTGGTTTAACTTCTGCAGGTCGACAGGTCGATATATTCGGTTGCTAGCGCGATGTTGTTTGCGTAAATGAAGTTTTTCAATACAGTTGGTTGGAGGTTGCTGATATACGTGTCAAACAGCAATGGCGAAAGTACTACACTTTCTGTGAGCCTGATAAAGTCATTAAAGTTCCTTTCTTGCTGATCCGCCAAATGATGTGAACCTGATACCGATGTTCTCGAATCATGACTGTGATGTGGCAAGGGTTCTTTTGACACATTATTACTCTAGAAATTTGCATATGAGACCATTGCTCTACACCACGTCAAAGGTCTGTGACAGGTCTATCAAAACTACTGATGTTTTTGTTTTCATTAAAATCTTGCCTCGGTGAAGCTTGTGAGAGAACGCAGTTGCTTACCAGCTGCGCCCAGATCGACACCCAGCTTGTTCTACGGGGAGGATTGCTTTAATTATAGGGGAAGCGTTAACAAAGTTCGCTGCGTTAGTTTCCGGCCTGCCACGGTCATCTTCTTTCAGTCTGGCAAATTTTTCTACAATAGCATATACTTAATCAGTCACTTTCGATAATAGCTTTTTTTTTTAAAGACGCTTAAGCAGATGTGTCAGACAGTATCTTCAACGTTCTCGATCTTGCAGCGTTTGAGCTTCGGCAGAAGTTAACCTAAATCTGGAGCATAGTCCTTCGACATACTCCAGGATATTCTTGGCCGTTCCCCTGGTCTCTGGTAGATCGATTGGTCAGTTAGCTGCTGTTTCGCCTTCCTTAATGAAAGCATTCGCAAGACGTACCTAAAACATCGCAGCTGTGATTTCTGAATCTGGAGAAGCATCAACTGTACACAAAGGCTGTCTTGAATATCTGTACTGCAGACCACTTGGACACGTTAAGACCAGCGATTCCTCGCGGAAAGTCTGTTTTCGTTGCATATGGTCTGAATGGAAGCTTTTTAGTCATGTCCCACGACTCATGACTATTGTGAGCATCGGATGAAGATCGACTTGAACACGAAGAGCTTGGTTTTCAGATTTAACCCTGCTTTAGTTACAAGGGTTCTCGTTAATTCATGCAGAACACGGCTGGCCCATCCAATTCTACGGTCGACCCTTCCTCCGATTTTTCATCTTCAGTAAATATGAAACACCCGATGTATGTCAACTTTACCTATTTTGCTGCTTCTCCGTCTATTTGCAGAGCTCAACAGCAGAAAAACGAAAAAGCACTCGACTTTTCGTTTGAGACACGTTTACACACATAGCGGCCACCTCGCACTCAGTTGCAACCCTTTCCAAAGAGTGCTGTGGATCAGTTTTGGAAGATGCTAATTAAACAAGGTCGTCTGCAAACAGCATCCTTCTCGTCTCCACATCTCCTACACCAGTACACTCATCGTCATCCCTGCGCCTTACTATTCTATTCATGTACAACACAAACAGGAGAGTGAACAGAACGCAGACACCACTGAGACCAGTACCAACGTTAAATGGCTTCGACTTAACGCCATTTACTCTGACGCATGCAGCACTTTCTTTCAGCATATAGTGATTGGACAGCCCGTAGCAGCTGTTCATCGATCCCATATGTTCGCAGCATACCCGTGTTGTGCGGTATCCTGTCATGGGCTTTCTCTAGTCAACAAAGTACATGTAAGCCGGATTAGCGAATTCGCATGATTTCATGACAGTCTAGTGTAAGACGAAGATCCGATCAGCGCTGTATCAGCCTGACCTGTAGCCACGCTGCTTTTCTTATATCTTGAAGTCATTTATTCGGTGGCACCTCCTTTATTGCACCTTTGCATGACTTTTCCCTGGAATGTGGATAAGATAATTACCCGATAGATGGTGCACTCCATATGATCTCCGTTTTTGAACAGGGGTACTACAACCGCTATTCTTGAGTGCACTTGTGTTTTCCCTGTCGCCAATGCAAGTAGAAAGACACGTGTTGGCCACAGCATTGTTGTTCGCTTTAATCATTCAGTATGAATTTCATGGATTCGAGCATCATTGCCACAGTTGAAGAAGCTTTTTGCAGCTTCTAGGACTGAATCTACTGAAACACATCCGTTGCCTGCTGCTGGCCTATTTTTCCGCAGTTGCTGGGTGTTAGGAGTTCCTAAATGTGCCCTCTCCATCATCAAGGCACGTTCTCCTTTGGTTGGAAGGCGTATAGATATATTCTTCAGGACTCTCTAAATTTCCTTTTTTTCTTCTAGGAGGCAGTGAATGGTCTGTTAGAATACTTAGTTTGCCGTCTAGAGATTGGACTCCAGGAGCTCATCGAACAGTTCCTACGAATCAGCTTTCGCTGCTGCCTTGCACGCTTTTTCGTATTGCTTTGGACTTTAATTTTCTTTGCTTCGATGCATCTCTTAAATACAGCCTTCTCGTTGAGAGCCAGTTGGACCTTCTCGTGTCCATCCGGAAGTTCATTTCTCATCTCCAGGCGGCAGGCTAATCCGTTGTAAACTACCGCATTTGGCTGTAGCACCGAGTGAGTGACTCCTACAAATCTTCCATTCGATTTCCACATTAACGATCATTTTTGCCACTATTCAAGCCGTCGTGCGATATTGGTTGCAAATTTTGCCCTCCTGTGTGCACAAGATAATGTTTCCAATTTGATAACTCTTGCAGTGTTGCGTGCTAACAACAAGGTGGTTATCGGTGGGCAGCTCTTCCCCTCTCTTATAAGATCATCTGTTACGCAGCGTCATAAATGTGTGATGCGATTATCAAGTCGATCATCGATTTCTGTCCACAGGCTTCCACGTACCAGGTATACTGATGCACGCTTCGATGCTCCAAGAAGGTGTTCATAATAGGGAGTGCGTTGCTTGTACAAAATGGCAACGGCTCCATAACCGGGGTATGAAAATTGCCATGTGTAACTGCGTAAAATATAAGTGTAGAGAAGCACTGTTACTCACAGAGCAGAGACCCATCTATTAAGGTTGAGGAGGTGGATGTTCGCAAATGAGCGTATAGGAAAAGTGATAAGCAAGCACCTGATTAGAAAACAAAGCTTCGCCCCCAGCAAGGTCAAAGAAAGCGATAACCTCAGGAATTATGCAACACACGGCCGATCAAGGAGGCGCCATATAATGGTCAGAGTGTACCGGCATGATCAACGGTAGATGCTCGCTAAACGTGTTAAGCGAGCATTAATCATTTGCTCCTGCGACAGTGTCAGTCGCATCAAGTGGTAGGAACTCTTCGCGGATTGGATGAACTTTATCGTTTTTGGCGCTTAGAAACTGTTTGACCAGCAGTACAGACTCAGTGCTTACCTTCTGGCTTTAAACCTACCCTTAGTTGCTGACAGCAAGAATAGCCTTTCACCTTGAAGAAGACTCGTGAGATATTTACCATAAGGTCGGTACTGGTCGATATTAAACTGTTTTGTGCTGTTTCATCATTAACAGTATGATATGCAGTTTGCCTTTTATGTTTGTGTGTTTGTTTATGACCTTAAAACGGTTCAATCGTTGGTGATTACAAAAGTCTAATATTCATTAATCAACAGGTACAATATGTGGGTCAATTAGACCAAAAACTGCTCATTGACGCATGAAGAACAAAACTGCGTGATATTGGGCACAAGTTTATTGATATGGACAACATTCCACAATTTTAGTTATTCCGATAGATGGTATTTTCTTTTCGATGAGTTTGATAGTGTGACGCAAGTTTACTTAAAGAAATTGGCACTAGCTTTGTAAACATTTAATGTGTGGAATTACTGTTGAATCATTCTAGCAAATTATTCGATTCACTAATTTGATGATCCACAAGTTTTTGTTTCTGTCTGTCTCGTAGACTTGTTGAAACACTAACTTTGTTGTTGTTGTTGTAGACGATCAGCTGCGTTTTCTGACGAGGGTGATCTGCTTGCTTTCATTAATATAACGTTTAAATGACAGTTTTACTATTTTGTCTGTATTTGGCAAGGTTTATTTAGCTATGGAGGCTGTAATAAGGATAGCATGCGTTTTTCATGTAAATATGCGAATCGTTCATAACAGCTCCTTTTGTATATATTGGCATATGATTTTTAAATTTAGCGATGAGCATGCAGTCGCGGAGATCAACACTACGTGGAGTGAACGACTATCGTTGTTGAACATCGAACTGAATGAACTGGATAGAATTCGTAACAAAACCGCAGATGGGGTCACCGACGAAGCTGTTATCGATGAGGTACGCTGGTTGGTTGACAAGTCTTTACTTCTGGATTTCGCTTTGCGGTTTTGATAACACAAAGCAAATTTTTCTTGCAGGCGATGGACGAAGACGAAGATGATGTGGTTTTCAGCGCGAGGCAGCGTAAACTTGATGAGGAAATACAGTCAGTGCAGATACAGATTCGTGACAAAGAAGCACTCATCGAAAGAGCTGCGTCAGACAGTTCCTACGTTGAACAAGACGTAAGAAAGTGAAAACGCTTAGCCTCTTGTTACTTGACCTATCGATCTAAGGGACTGTTCGCGGTGGTCTCACATAATTTGTTTTAGGCAAAATTGACTGAAATGGAACAGAGAATCGAAGATCTGGAAAACGAGAAGTCTAATCTAGAGCAACAGCTGCGGTCTCTGCGAAATACGGCGATGTGCGTATGATCATGTTTATTTTTTTCCTGTTGCTGTTTCTCTTCGTTGGTTGGCGAAGGTGGCACATGCTACATCTACTGTGGCGCAGATTGCGGTTTTTGAGGCCAAAAATTTCGTGAATTTTAGCTTATTCTCATAGAAATATTTGCTGTTGTTTACTTCATCGTCGTAAACAAGACCGTTTGCCATTGCATGCCTTTCGGAGATGATTGCTTCATACTTTCAACTTAGTTTATTGGTCATTATGAATCAACTCTTAAACATCTTCAGACTTAGATGAATTTCAGCGCATGTTCGTTTGATTCCGTAGTTGGCAGCTCAGAAAACAAAATTAATTTTGTTATTCAGCACCGACCCGTCGTTTCAGCCGATCTGACTTTGGTCATCATTCAGTTATTTCTTGATGATGTCCAATGCCAGTACAGTCGAAACTGTATCGATGCTAAATAATGAATTTACTCTTGTCCTTCTTGCTGCTACTGAACATGGAATAAAAAAAGTGTCTGCTTCACAGTCACTTCAGACTTGTATTTTTCTCAGTGACAGCAGAAAAATGTTTTTACTAAAAATAGACTTGAGGTTATTGTTCGTATATACTCTGTACCTCAGCACAACTCAATTACTTCACGCATTGTATCATCCTGTGGTACAATAAGAGTCGCGAGTAAAATAAGAAGCTGGTGATGATGAATAAAAGGAAACGAACGGGAATAAATAGTAAATGAGAAGAGGAGGCGACCGATTGAAAAGGTAGAGGAGTAAATCAGAAAGAAAAAAGGAAAAGAAAAGAACTGAGGGAAAGGAAAGAAAGACGGAAGAATGACAGAAAGGAATTGGTAGAAAGCTAGGTAGAGGGAAAAGGTACCAAAGAATGTTAAGAAAAGAACGAGACGCTGTGGAAGGTAAATGAAAATAGAAATAATGCAATGAAATGGGCGAAGGGCGGAAGAAAAACACTTCAAATAAAAGAAACTCAAAGAAAAACCGGAAGAAGAACATACCGGCTATGTCGTCTACCGGGTTATCTGGGCCCGTCCAGGCTGTTGGGAAACAGGCAGACTGCGAAAATTCGGCGATAATTACTTGCTTCTCGTCTTCTGCCTAATCGGGACATAGCAGCAGGCGACGCCTGCCGAAGGTCGTTAAGACGATGATCGTTCTGAATGGAGAAAGAACATAACGCAACGCCATCTTACCACTCAAATAACATTTCATAGAACGATTTCTACAGTAACAAATCGAGATATGTCCTCACTCAGAGGGAAAGAGCAGGAACTAGTTTATGACGGTTGTAGCACCTCTCTTCAAGAAAGGAGACAATGCGAAGTGCTGCAGTTGTCAGGCATTGTCTTATTGAGCCTTCCGGTAAAGGCTTACGCATAGGAGTTGTAGAGACTGTAAGCAGTGTATCTTCAAGTCAGGACGAAACACCTTTTAAACGATCATCGTTTTGGCCAGATTGTGAAATCGTGGAAATTCGCCCATCCTGTTTACATGCATTTTTTGTACCTTGATAAAGCTACGACAAAAACCGTTCAACAAGCTATGTCCTTGCGTGCAAGCGTGGGAACAATGGCTAGTTGCTACGAGCTATCTAGTCACTTTATGTTGATAACAGGTGCTGCATCAAAGTAGAGTTGACTTTAGACCTTTCAGCGCTGGCATTGGTCTTCGCTAGGGCTGCTTTCCATCGCCTGTCCTGTTTGCACTGTACATGGATAAAGGTACAACCAGGACGACGAGTATATCATCGTTGGAGATGTGGAGACGAGAAGATTGCTGTTTGGCATTTTCTGAAACTGGTCTGTAGCACTTTATGGAAAGGTTTGCAGCCAAGTGTGATTTGGCGATTTGAGTGTGAACGTGCCTAAAACTCAAGGGCTTCTACTTTATCGTTCTTCTGTCTGTTGCACTTTGCGCATATGTGGAAGCAGTAGAGTAAGCGAAGTTCGTATACCTCAGGCTCATGTTTACTGGTGATTGAACATGGAAAGAAAGTTCGATCGGTGAATTGGAATGGTCAGCGGTATTCTGCAAGAACTGGCCCGAAAGGTTATGACGAAAACAACGTTGAATGTGAAGT